CCCTCAAGGGCCACGGGTCAATAGCCCATTCGACTTCGCCTCATGGGCTATTGACCCGTAGCCCTTGCGGGCTATGGGTCTAATTGTTAATTAGTATAATTTCCAGAGGTGAATATACGAATTGGACATTCTGATTGGTAGGAAAGCTCATCATTTGACGCTATATTCACCCCGCTAGAGCTTGGTTTCTAAGCTCGCCATCTTTGCCATCTCGGCAAGTAAACATGGCGGACAGTTGCTGAATGAATTTTTCATTTATTCGGAAGATATCACTCCAAGTCTAGGATATTTGAAAGGATGGAGAATTTTCAAAACGACTGCTGTCGCCCTTGGACCAAAAATCTTTTCAAGAACTCGTATTCAAAGCTTTTAAGAATCGTAAAGGCAGTGGTTGCGTTGATCGCCAGCAGGTCAGATCGATTGACCAAAATTTATTTTTCTTCAAACTAAAGCTACTCATTTTTAGGCGACGATGATAACTGTGAATGAAGTCAACGATAAAACGAAGGTACCGGATGAATTTACTTTTCGTATTGTGCGAATTCGATGAGTAAATTGATTGACAATCGATCTACATGTAAGCTTATTATCAAAACTACGGCTGCATATGTGTATGCACATGAACAACTGCGGCTGTGTCTGTATGTTTTAGTCCTCTGAAAATTGTACTAAAACAATTATTCGCCTCAGGCTCGGTGAACATTGGTGAATGTTCACTTTGCCTTTGGCGAATAATTGTTAAATACTCCCAATTTTCAAAACGGCGCGTGTTGCGAAAAATATTTGAAGGATAATAAACACAACAGCCTCCATTTGACTTTGAAAATATGCTCGGATATTTGTCCTTGGACAATATCTGTTCCTTAAAGATCACAGTTTTCCTCGAGCTACGTACGCTCTCGGAAAACTGTTCGCTTCTCGGAACAGATAATGTCATGCGGACAGATATCCGAGGATATTTTCGCGCCAAATGGGGGCTATAGTTTATATAGTCAATACAGAGAACGTGCAAGAAGTCAGCAATTTCAGCAATGGTGGGAAGCAGAGAGCGATAATGATGTTTAAAACGACATATAAACTAGCCCCGGGGTATCTTGAATAGCTACTGAGTGCCCAGCGCCATGCTAAGTTCGGTTTGAGAAAGCTAGATAGAAAAGTCACTTCGCCAAGGTCACACTCAAACTTCTTTAAAACGCAGTTTTAGCTATAGTAGGATCTTTGAAAGAACAATCTGCGCCACGACGTAACAGGTACCGGCTCTTTTGAGAAATTTAAAGGAAAACTAAACCAACTACGAATCGGATTCCCCCACTGTAATTATGCAAAACAGTATATGTCGCTTTAGTTCGTTCTTTTTCTTACCTTTATCACGTTTTCAATAAAGATCATTATCGTCACCTCAACACAAACAAGAACCAAATTCGATTCGTGGCAATGATCGACTGCAAACAATTGTTTAAACATTTCTCCTCATCCCCAAACTAACATTAACGAGTGAAACGGCGCTTTAATTGAAAGCGTTGGTGCATCTGAATAAAATGGTAACTTACCAATTGGAATTTCTGATGTAAACCCGATTTTCCACAGAATAGCCTGCCCATAAAATAGAGTAAACACTTGTAAGAATTGATAACGGTTCATTCCAGGAGTCTTCGTGTTGGTTTTGAAGCTGATATTAAACACGTTTACTCGCTGATGTTACTGACACATATAATTACTTAGAGCTTCATTTACGCAATGCATTTGTTTGTTCACGTTTTACCGCCAAAACACCTGTTGTCAAGTTTGAACGGGGATTAATTATTCAAAGCAAATGAATACTGATTTTGGTTTGTAAGAGTTTAAATCCTTCCATGCACGAAGTGTTGTGTTTGCGACCAACTAAAAGTTCTTTGTCATTTTGAGTTTCAATTTCCACCAACTAGTGAATTGTTTTATGAATTGCGTGTATTTTGGCATGGAAGTAATGCTACAATTTTCTCACAAGAAGTTTTTTTACACGTTAATAATGAATAATTTACGAAGGTTTCTTTTAAGTTATGATCTTTAAATACTTAGCAACTACTGCAACTGTTTACGGCCTCAAAAGTGACTATTTTAAGTCGTTTAGAATTCAAATAACGTTCAGTAAAAATAAAAATAAATAACATTAATAATAATAATAATAATAATAATAATAATAATAACAGGATAGAAGTAAAACAGCAATAGTAAATTACTATACAGGAATCATCTTATTTCGTCTTCAAGTACAATATCTTTACAGCGTGAAGATTAAGAGTAAAAGGAATAAATTAAGAAAATCATCAAACAGGGAACAGTGATGCTTTTTGCATTTTGTAACTCTCAATGGAAGTGAAGAAAGAAGCAAGATCATTTAAAAGATATAAATTTCTGTATAATATTTGGAATTGAAATGTTAACGACGAGAAGCCATATTTCGATTATTGCTGTCCTCTGTGGGACGGTCTTACTAAACGAGTTACCCGATAAATTACGAACTGTTTGCCTTCACTAGAGACCGCATTGTCTTGAGAAACGTTAACATTAATGCAGGTCTCTAGTTATAAACGTTAACAGCTGCCAATTGCAGGCAGCGATGTACTGAGCCCTCTGTCATACTTATTGGTTTTAATTCTTCCTAATTAGTGAGTGTATAATGGAATTCTTAATTAGTAGTTGTAATTATCATCCTTTTAAGCAGGTGTACCAAGATAAATTGTGTGATCAGTGACAAAAATGGTTAAAAAAAAAACCCACCAAACTTTAAAGGAGAATGCCTACGATGCCAAGCTCCACCTTACAAGATTTACGACTGCTTACATTTTTATGTTTGTTCTCAAATACTATTGTCAAGGCTCCATTGAATTAAAATACATACTGGTTAGTTAATCGGACTCGCGTGAAAACTTTTAGAGCGTTTTCAGTCACGTGGCCAGCAGCCATGCAAATTTATTGGAACTAAGGAAAGTGTTTACGAAAGAAAAGAAAAAAACCGCAACGAAAACATGCAAGGTAGAAATTTCCTGAACTCTATAACCATTGTCCGTAGAAAGTCTGTTTGAAATCCTGAACGAATGCATATTTTTATCATTTATCTTTCTGTTTTAGTCTCGAGATTTATTTCAGCTGCTATGGTCGATTGAAGTCAAATTAAAAACGTTTGGTTTTCTGGGTAAAGAAGAGATACAAAAGTCTTAGGTCGGTAATTTTGACCTGAGGCATTTGGAATTTTCATTGCCTGATAGGTACGGAAACCCATCTGAAAGTTCTTTGTTGTCATTACCATTCATTATTCGTTCCCATGGAGACAAAGGCCCTTAATGATTTCTTACAGATGCCTGAAATAAATTGGCAAACAGTAAACTTTTGAAGAGACAGAGGTAAAATGAGATAAAATGCAAATGGCACTTAACTTTAGAGTTCCCATGTGTTTCTAACCGTTTGAATTATGTTTTACAAAAGTCGCATTGTGCTTAGAGTAACCTATTCTACATTTAATTTGTTACAACATAAAAAGCCTTTCAAAAATGTAACCCCCCTTACCGTGCTAATTAACTGCCACTAGTGGGTCACGAATGGCTCCCTCGTAAATACATTTGACGAGTTGAATCTACTGAGAAAAAGAAACTACTTTTTTATGGGATCTACTTAATGAAAGTTAAGTTTCTTGTTTACAAGAGACCAAAATATAATCCAATCGCACGAAAAAGCCAACTTAGTACAATGAACCCGAGAGAATGATACTCTCGACGTTAACACGAATGTTCAATATGAAAAGGCTTTATAAAGTAGTAGAATTCTACAAACCCTCCGTTTTGGGATAACATGCGTCAAAACAATATATTTGATATTTAAAATGTCAATTTTAGCTGCTTTGTTCATACGAAAACAAAGTGAAAAAGAAAACCAGCATGCTTCTATTCTTGTTTTTCCTAAGATATTCCTGCTGGTAGTTACAATCGCTTTTGTTTTAGCTCAGGTTAAAAGATTCGCTGATCTTTAACTTCATTAAGTGATTAAGATTATTTTACCTTCAATGGGTCATGCTCAACCAATATTCAAAGAAACGGACTATGTGGCTACATAAATATTTCCTTGTGATGGTAGGTACTCGTGCAATACCCGTTTCACGGTCTTTTTGTCATTATCATAACGATGGTTGTTTCGTCTGGTAAAGATTTAACCAGGACGTTTAGTCACTCGAACACCTGCCCGTGCGAGAAATCTTAAATGCCCGAGGCTAAAATGTGTTGAAATAACGACAAGAACAAGACATACGTCTTTATACACACTTAAAAATATATTTGAAGCGATATAAAATAGCGGTAGAATTGCAGTGAAACAAATCCAAGGGAGAAGTGTTTTGGTTCTAGTTATCTGGAGTGATAAGCGTCAGTGGCCGCAAAAATAAAAAGTGTAAATTAACTATAAACTGGAACACAAGTTTAAATTTGGATTAAAATTCTAAACTTCTTTTTTTGTGAAGTCATTTTGAAATAGAAGAAAATGTATAATATTGTTCAATAAAATTGTTTTAATATACTTCGTGTTATGCGAATTGTTGTAACTGATAATGTGTTTGTTTCCTTTCAAGTTACTGCTGAATTTATTTTCAAAATGCGTTGCTCTTCACTACAATTCGTCATGTTTGTCAGGTGAACTACAACAAGACTGTAAACGTATTTCGCTTTAAATATATCTAATGGTTAAAACCTAAATAACTTGATACTTAGAGGAATTAGAATTGCTATACCGAAGAAGCTTAGAGCCAGAGTTGTATCCCTTGCAATTAATGTTTTTCAGGGATGGTACTGTAATGTAAAAATTGTAGAATCCTTTTATTCGTCTCAGCACAGACTGTTTTCGTTATTCCTATTACTGTTGTTGCTCTGATTCAATACACAACTTGTACTTAGCGATACGTAAATAGATAAATGCATCTAGTTAAAAAACAGGCTATATCAGAATATTTTTTGTTATTGTAATTTTTCACTAAAGGATCTCTATTCCTTTCGGATCTAAACCTAATTGCTACAGCTTAAATTTTTCTTGAGTTCAGAAAGAATGAACAGTTTGTCCCACAATGCAACGCAAGCTCCGAAAAACCTGACCTAGCTTAGTCTAAAAAACCTAGTAAGGCGTACTTTGGCAAAGAAGAACTAATAGATCCCTTTGATTATTTTAAAATCCAGACTCAGTTCAGATGGGTGTTTTGACTGAAATTTGGAGTGGCCTTTCTGATGGTGAAGATGTAAATGAATTGAATTGTCTGCAAAGCTATCCAGAAAAGCCAGACAGTCAAATCCAAGCGGCGACGTTCGAATTTGTCGACAACCTGAACAGAAAATCTGGTATTCGTAGTCGTGCTTATTTCAGTTGTTCTATGAGTGGACATCACACATTCTCCATCAAATGCGATGATCTGTGCAGGTTCACAGTCAAAGTGGATGAAGATTTCTCCGAGAGTCTGGGCTATCGTGACGCTATTTACTCCCCTAGTTACCGAGAGTAAGTGCAATTTGGTTTGTTAGGAGTTATTCCTCACGTTCATCAGAAAGGCTAAGATGGCTGAATTAACGCATGCAGAAATGGATGCAAAATTCTGGGGGTACTTTCCAAACATTTAGGGTGGAGTAGTCTACTAGTTTTCACTTTTTGTCATTTTAGATCAAAATACGCATTTTCTGTACCCTCCTTTGGGACCAGACTCATTACGAAGTGTCGTAAAACCAAAATCAGAGCAATAACAATGTTTAACTCTCAACAGCAGAGGCCAATAAGAACTCAAAGTAAAGTCAAATCACCGGGGCCAAGCGCGGGAAAACACTTTGTTTTTGACTTTGCGTTTGATTGGCTCAGCAGATGTCGTGAGAATTGTTTTAGAGTGTTGTGAAGCAAGCAAGAACAAAGCACTTCTAACTATTCTTTAGAATCTAAATTGAAAACGGCTCTAAATTCAAGGCCTGATCGATGTTTCCTCAGCCTAGGGTCGCTGTATCTGACGGAAGGAACGCTTTACTTCTTGGAAGTTCTACACGTTCAAAAGGAAGATGGAGGATACTTTGCTGTGGGTGTTACGCTACCCAACGGTACAGTAATCAGACCGATAACCACTGACCATCTGGTTATGTACGTTCCAGGTAAATGAAATCACCTCATACAACAAGGATTTATAGGCAGATTAACTTCGATTCGCTCAAATAAAAGCTTTAACTGATTTGTATATGAATGACATCATTCAGTATATAGTATTAAACTCAGCTAAGTCTTTAGACGTGTACACACTTCGTCCTATTGCATTTGATCTTCTGCCTAATTCTGGCATTTTCCTTTTTGCTTTAAAAGATGGTTTGAATTCGCGGCTCAGCACACGTTGACAATGAAATTTGTTTCGAAAATCGGAGCGTGCGGGTTGACTCTTGAGAGAAATTTTCCCCTCCGATATTTCTCCTAAGTCCTGATATGACGCGACGATGTTTCTCATTGGAATTCCTTTATATTTTATTACTAATGAAGATATGATTCTTTAGGCAGCTTCCAATACGTCATATGATGGTGACGCATGATGATGATGATGATGATGATGATGATACTTTCTCATTTTAAGCTCGAGCAATTGGGGATTGTTAGGCCCCTAGCTAAAACAGTTAATGCGTCGAGTCAAAGAGAACTTAAAATCTAAC